TGGGGAATCCTAATTGGTTGTGTCGTCAGATGCGCTTTCCGTTTCTCTCCCTGATTGGCTGCTATTATAAACATCCTGCAATCAGTTAGTAATCATTTACAGTGATGCAGTGATGCAATATACGAAAAGCTGGAAAACACCCAAACGTGTTGTCCTTCATTCATAATTTCACATTTTGTATTACAAATCATGTTTATTTATTCAGCAGATTTGGTGAAATTTTGCGCAATAATGAGTTCCTTGCAACGTGCATTTCGAACCATATGTAGGCCTATTTCCTTCCAATAATTTGCCCGTCTTTTTACACTTTTTAGCAGGCCTACTCCAGACACTAACCAAAAATTACAAAAAGAAGAACCAATTAGGAAAAAACAAGGATCGTTTCAGAAATTGTTCGTTACCTTGATTAAGACGGCAAAGCCTCAAAAATGATCGTAATCCACACATTGCAAATACAGTCTAGAAATAAGTAAACATGTCTGTATTTAGCCTTAAATTAACCAGATAAATAAGAAGATTTGCCAATTGAATTAATATTTTCTCTTAAAATGAGATAATTTGGAATAAGACAACGCATTTGTTTTTTTCTTATTTTATATGTAAATTGCCTTATTCCATTGACAAAGTGTATCACTTAACTGCTTAATTCAAGAAAAAGTGCTATTTTTTTAAAGAAAAATAAACTTACTTAGATTTTAATTTTTTGCACTTCATTCTCACGCCTTTCCATTTAATCCCTTATTTATTTATAGTATTTAAAGAACAACATTAAATGTCGTATTAGAGTAAATATTAAGCCTATTCCTTTTATAAACATTGACAGCATCCTTTCTGCTTCTTTCCGAAAGCCGCTCTGTGATTTTTCCAGGTGTGGATTTCGGAAAGTGAAATCTGCGCTCTGATATAAAAGCTCCTCTGCTGCTCTGCTCCAACACAACCACACCAAGACACATCTGAGCTCATACAAAGAGGAATTATTAGATTTAGACTTAAATACAAAATCAAGATGCTGAACAGGATTTTCTTGGCTTGTGTCTTTCTTGCTCTGTACTGCGCATGCTCCCCGCTGAGCTGCAGGTGGATGGATCAGAAATTCAGACAGTACAGCCAGAACTCATTAGATCTTCTGGATGGGATGGTAAGAGATCAGATTTTAATGCTCGTTTATGTTTGATCTGATCTGTAAAAATATGTTTAATTTCTGATGTGTCTGTGCTGCAGGTTAATAACAGCACTAACAGCACTAAGGATGAAGAGCAGAGCGCTGTGGCCTTCCCTCATCATCTGTACAGCCACGTGTCCAAAGCATCAGTAAGTCCTCCTCAGCTG